CTCAGACGCAAACGCAGACTCAGGCAGCACCAGACGCACAGCCTCACACTCAACGCCAACCGCCTACGGAGACGACACCGAACGGAGATGCACCGCGTCCGCCGCGAGGACCGAGGGGAGGCAACAAGAGGGGAGGAAGAGGGGCCGGCGCGAGTCGTCGGCCTCGCGGTGGCGATCAGCCTACACTTCCCGCTGGACGGACCTTTGGAGGAAGATTGACGAGGCTGGAGCAGGAGCAGGATGGTCAAGCCATACCGGGCGGTGATGGGATGGATGAGGCTGGGTTGAGGGCCGATGCGCCTGTGTTTGTGCCTGGTGGTGTACCGCAGCAGCCAAGGGAAGAAGTTCCCAATGGTGCAGCGTCTGTGTCTGGTACTGGGAGAGGAAAGGGAAAATCGAAGGCGAAGAACAACGGCAGCAACAGCGGTGGTAATCAGAAACAGCCTCGGTCTCAGCCACCGCCGCCTCCGGCGAAAGTTACGACAAAATCAACGGCTTCCGATATCGCCACGCGGATTCACGAAGATATTGCGCACAATCTGTACGAATGTCCGATTTGCACGAGCGAGCTGGGAAAGAGATCGCGTGTTTGGTCTTGCGGGCTCTGCTGGACGGTCTTCCATTTGAGCTGCGTGAAGAAGTGGTCCAGGAACGAGGGGGCGGCGGCTGCTCAGCGACAGGATGGCGAGAATGGGGAGAGTAGTGCGCCTCGCGCGTGGCGCTGTCCTGGTTGCAATCTGCCTCAGGAAGTATTTCCCTCGACTTATACTTGCTGGTGTGAGAAGGAGGTTGATCCGCGCTCGTTTCCTGGCCTGCCGCCGCACTCGTGTGGACAGACTTGCGCGAGGACGCGCAAAGGTTGTCCCCATCCGTGTGATGCGACTTGTCATGCTGGGCCTTGTGCGCCTTGTACGGCTATGGGGCCGACGCAGGATTGCTTTTGTGGAAGGAACTCATCGACGAAGCGTTGCCAGGATACGGATTATGAGAATGGTTGGAGTTGTGGTGAGATCTGTGGTGATTTGTTACCTTGTGGAGAGCACACTTGTCCCCGGCCATGTCATGAAGGCTTGTGTGGCTCTTGTGAAGAGAGGATCGATGCGCGGTGCTACTGTGGAAAGGTACAGACCGAGATGCTGTGCAGCTCGAAGGATGAAGAGTTGGATAGTGAATTGACGCGGGAGGACGGCGTTGAGGAGTGGACTGGCTGCTTTAGCTGTGGAGATGAGTGCAGTCGTCCTTTTGACTGTGGCGTTCATTTCTGCCAGAAGAGCTGCCATGCGCAAGATGCACATCCTGCTCACTGTCCGCGGTCTCCGGATGTGGTCTTTGACTGCCCTTGCGGAAAGACACCTCTGGACCAGATCGCTGGCTATTCACCTCGGATGTCTTGCGAGGATCCGATCCCGAATTGCACCAAGCCTTGTGGAAAGCCGCTGGCCTGTGGGCATCCGTGCACCAAGGTCTGCCATACCGGGTCTTGTGGGCCCTGCTTCCAGAACGTGCCCATCGAGTGCCGCTGTGGCCGCAACACATTCACAACAATGTGTCCTCAGGGTAAGATGGAACCGCCGCAGTGCTTTCGCATCTGCAAGGCCGGCTTGCACTGTGGCCGCCATGCCTGCACTGAGCGATGCTGTCCCGGCGAGCAAAAGGCCATCGAGCGCCAGGCTATCCGCCGGAAGCTCAAATCTCATCTGCGGCCAAGTGATGAGGACTTTGAGGCTGAGCATATCTGTACCCGGGTCTGTGGCCGTATGCTGAAATGCGGACGGCACACATGCCCGGAGATCTGTCACAAGGGGCCCTGCAACACCTGCAGAGAGGCTATCTTCGAGGAGATTCCGTGTAACTGCGGTCGATCTATCTTGCATCCGCCTCTGCCCTGCGGGACACAGCCCCCGGCATGCTCATTTCCTTGTGAGCGCCCCAAGCCGTGTGGCCATCCTCAGACGTCCCATAACTGCCATACCGACGACGAAAGTTGCCCCAAATGTCCATACCTGACAGAGAAGACCTGCCTCTGCGGCAAGAAAGTTCTGAAAAATCAGCCCTGCTGGCTTGCAGACGCCCGCTGTGGCCAGGTCTGCGGCCAGCTGCTCAAATGCGGCTCCCATACCTGCCAAAAACACTGTCACCGGCCTGGCGAGTGCGAGGATGCTACGAAGCCCTGCCAGCAGGCATGCGGCAAGACAAAGACAATGTGTGGCCACCCCTGCACCGACCCATGCCATGCACCCTATCCATGCCCCGAGAAGACGCCCTGCAAGTCCATGATCACGGTAACATGTGACTGTGGACGACTCCGCCAGGAACGTCGCTGCAACGCAGCCAAGGCTGTGGTTTCCAAGGGCCAGCTCCAGCAAGCGCAGCGCGGGCCAGCCGTGACACCGCTATCATGCGACGATGAATGCGCTCGTCTCGAACGGAACCGGTCTCTTGCCTCCGCGTTAGGAGTCGACATCAACCCGACAACCACCGTCTCGCAATCCCTCACCTCCACCAACCTCCCCTACTCCGCCGAAACCCTCGACATCTACATCCAACTGTCCTCCTCCCATCCCTTGTCCACCCTACAAACCATCGAATCCACTCTCCACACCCTAGCTACCACACCAACTGAGCGATCCACGCGGTTTCAACCCGCTAAATCCTCCCTCCGCGCCTTCACCCACTCCCTCGCAGCCGACTGGGGCTTCGCTAGCGAAAGCTTCGACCCGGAACCCCACCGCCACGTCTTCGTATTGAAGTCCACTCTTTGGACTCCGCCCGTGTTCGGAACCGGCAACGGCACGGCCATTGGTATCGGCGGCATGAGCGTGGGCGACTGCGTCAAGCTGCGTGATCGCCAACGCCTAAAGGAACAAGAAGCGCAGCGTCTCGCCGCGGCGGAGGCCAAAGCCCAACGCGAAGCGGCACGCGCACATACCAATGGGTCCAGCGAGGGCGGCTGGGCACAGGTGGCTGCTTCGAAGAGAAGCAATCTGGTTCTTGGTGCGGGACAGACTTCTGCTCCTTCTTCTGCGTCTACGTCAGGAACGGCTACACCGGCTGCTGTGGCTCCGTGGTCTAGTTCTACTATGTATGCTGCGCTGGATCGGGATGTTGGCGATGCGGCACAGCCAAAGAAGGAGAAGTTGGTGCTTCGGTCGGGAGTGAAGGGTTCGAGGAGTCAGGGGTCGTCGGTAGAGCGAGAGAAGGAGGGCTCGACTGCTAGTGGGGGTGATGCTTAGTTCTGAATGAGTTGATGAGTGATTCTTCCAAGGCTAAACCCTTCTATGGGTCTAGTGTGGGAATGTTTATGGTATTGTGGTTTCTTTTTCATGACGAATGCCATTGTTGCAAAGTTTAGCGTGCATATATGGCGGCTGGGTAGCTTCAAGCTACGCAAAAATCAAAAAGGATGTTGTAATTGATAAAGCAATAACAAATAGGATGAAGAGAGAAAAATCTTATACCCTTCTTAGCATACAAATCACCAAACTGGTCAAAGACAAAGTAGTTAGAAACATAACAATTAGAGATAGAATCACCCCCATTGCCCACCACACCCAGCTTTAGGAATTAATTCATCCCCATTGACTAACACCCACCAAGATCATCATGAACCAGCCAGCCAAAGCCAGGCGCTATCCCGGAACCCCAAATATACCAATAAAACCAACCCATTGAATGCTTACTTCTTCCTCGAACAATCCATTACCAAAGAATTAAGCTTCCCACCGCCGCACCTCGTAATCAAACCCCATGTGCATGTGCGGAGTACAGACTACGAACATCCTCGTGATCGGAAGACAAATCCCCTCCCCCAAAAACGAATCATAATCATCAGATATGATAATTGATAAGATTAGATCAATTGTGACTGGACGTGCCAAAACACACTAGAGATACGTGCTATGCTGATCTTTCGTTTCAGCTTCTCCGGTCAGGCACGATTGCGTTGATCGTATTCTCCTTGAGATTTAGTCTACTGTAGTGGTGGTTAGTCTAGTAGACAATGTGCTGCGTGTGTCTTGTTTAGCGTCCGCCCAATGGCAGTTTCGGTGGGTGAGTGAGTGAGTGGCTGAGAGATTTAATTTACTGGAGTGATCGTGTGGGCCCACACTTGGACTGCACGTCCAGTCGATTCGCTCGCTTTGCGCCGTGTGGGTGGGAAGGAATAGACCCTTGGAAGTTAGAATGAGTGTTTAGGGTTTGGACTGGACCCTGGTGCAGATTCTACTACTGTTACTTTGTACGGAATACATAAGTACCCCTGTTGTTGTTGTTGTTGTTGCACTGTGAATTATGTGTACTGGTGATAGGATTTGTGTTCCCATCGGAAGGAAATATGCAATGAGGAAAGGAGCGGAGGATTTTCGTGGTCGTCGTGTGTACGACAACGTGGGATGATCCCCATGATGATACGACGAAGGGGTGATGAGCCGGGCATGCCGATGGATGGATCGATTGATTGGATTGGACTGGACTGGACTGGGTCTGATTTGCAATTTTGTGCCCCAGCTGAGATTCCGTTTGCTGTCTTGTTACTCTGTACTCCACCCGGAGTTCCCGTTGATGACGATCGGGTGTTGGGTTGATGTTGGTCACTCACATTCACGGTTGACTTGTTCACTTGGAGGGAAGGGTGGTCTCTTTGTAGGATATTATCAGATTGATATGGGAATATCAGTTAATCAATCATTATTTATCAATCTAGAGGTAAAGTATTCATCATCATCACACCATAGACAGTAATAATCTGGGAATACACACATTGACCAAGTGAGACAACCATCCGGACTGGCGATCGCCGAACAAATCAAAGCCGTCAACAAACCCAGTAAACTTTTTCACGAACCGGAGTCTCACGCACTTGTCACTCGCAGTCCTTGATTGGTGTCGATGGGGCAGTTTATCTGATCCGTCGTGGGTTATCAGATCGGGGCCAGTGGGATATTTTTATTTCTTTTCTTTTCTTTGGCATGTGCTGTTGACACTGGCTCTGACTTTCCAGACTAGAGTCTAGCTAGGGGTTTAAGTGATCGGCTCCCCCCTCCCCCCGCCGTTCGTTCATTTCTTAACTTAGTTCCATCTTTTTCTGCTTTGCAGCGCGTCTCGTGCGGGTAGTGATTAATTATTATCCTTTTGGTTGGCTTGATGGTTAGATACAAATACGGCTGTCTGACTGTGTCTGATGAATTCTGCTCATCCCTGGATTTGATCTCCATCCCTTCCATTCCTTCCCTTTCTTTCTTTCCTTCTAGGCTGCTTGGCGATTGGGGTTACTAGGGGTCATATACGACTCTAAGAAGCATAAGGCTTCACTTCTCTTCGTCTTCACCATGCGCTTCTTCAAGGAGGAAAAGACGACCACCGAGACCAACCATGAGGTCTCTGTATCTGCCGAGTCCCAGACCAAGGAAGTCGTCTCTGGCCATGACGACGGCGTCTTCTACAGCTCAGACCAGTCCCGACTGAGTCTGGAAGCGCAAAACGAGAAAGAAATCGAGGCCCACCCGGACCAAGTCACCAAGGATGCCCAGCTGGGTGTGCAGAAAGCTGAAGCCGCGGCCCTAGTCTGGAGTAAGAAAGCTGTCTATGCTACTTATGCTTGGTATCTACCCTTCTGCCAATGTACCATACGGTCTATCTAACTGGTATAGGATCTGGGTATGCTTCTTCCTCCTCGCCCTCAACAACTCCATCAGCGGCACCGTCATCAACCGCGCCTACGCCGACTTCAAGGCCGCCCCCCAAGTCAGCACAGCCAGTATCCTCTACAGCATCATCGGCGGCGTGCTGAAGTTGCCGATCGCGAAGACATTGAACATCTGGGGCCGTGCCGAGGGTTTAATCGTGTGGGTGGTCATCTACACCATTGGATTGATTGTGCTGGCTGCGTGTGATGGTCCGGATTCTTATGCTGCGGGCTATGTACTCTTCTACGTGGGCTACTCGGGTATCTATCTCGTACTGGACGTTTATATCGCCGATACGTCCGGCTTGCAGAACCGGGCGTTTACGTTCGCCTTCGCTAGTACCCCGTTCATCTGTACCGCGTTTACGGGCCCTCTGGCGGGTGAGTCGTTCCTCAAGGTGGCGACGTGGCGCTGGGCGTATGGCGTGTTTGCTATCGTAATGCCGGTGGTGTTTGCGCCGTTGGTGGTGGTGTTGAAGTATTATCAGCGCAAGGCGGAGAGCATGGGGCTGTTGAAGAAGGAGGACAGTGGAAGGACGACGATGCAGTCCATTGTTCACTACATTCATGAGTTTGACTGTATGTCGTGCCCTATCCCCCCGCTACTTCCCTGTTATACTAACGAGCCAGTGATCGGCGCCTTTCTGCTCATGGCCGCATGGGTCCTGCTCCTCCTCCCCTTCAGTCTGCAACAGTACGGACGCGCGCAATACAAGAGCGCCAAGTTCATCGCCATGATCATCGTCGGCTTCTGGCTGCTGGTTGCGTTCGCCGTGTGGGAGAAATGGTTCACGCGCAAGCACTTCGTGCGGTATGAGTTGCTGCGACAGCGCACTGTGCTAGGAGCGTGCATCATGTCCGCGGTGTCGTATTTCAGCTTCTACTGCTGGGATCTGTACTTCTACGACTTTTGCATCGTGGTGTTCAACCTCAGCGTCTCGATGACCGGCTACATGACGCAGATCTACAACGTCGGATCATGTTTCTGGGGCGTCGTCTTTGGTCTCTGGATCCGCTACACCAAACACTTCAAGTACACTTGTCTGTTCTTCGGACTGCCGCTGCTCTGTCTGGGTGCCGGACTGATGATCCATTTCCGCGGCGAAGGTGGCAACGATATCAACTACGTGATCATGTCGCAGATCTTCATTGCATTCGGCGGCGGTACGATCGTCATTGGTGATGATATGGCGGTGATGGCTGCTGCGGATCGCGAGGGCGTGCCCATGATGTTGTCGCTGTTAGGGCTGTTTTCCAGTCTGGGCGGCGCTATTGGGTATGCTGTTGCTGCGGCGGTGTATACCAATATCTTCCCGCAGGCGTTGGAGGGTCGTCTTCCTGCGGATTTGAAGTCGAATGCGACGGAGATTTACCTGGGAGGGTATACGACGCAGATGACCTATCCGGTGGGATCGCCGACCCGGACTGCGGTGGATTATGCGTGGGGAAGAAGTCAGATGTATGGGTCTGTTGCTGGCACGGCGATTTTGGCGTTGGGATTCCCGGCGATTGCGGTTTGGAAGAATTACCGGACTGATAAGAAGCAGAATAAGGGTACGATGATTTAGTTGGATATGTACCTGTTGATGGGTAGTGAGAGGGGGTGTTGGTATTGGGTGTGTTGTTACTTTCTTACAATCTTATTGTTCTACCTTAATATCCCTGTATTATTACTCAAGGTTTAATCTATTGATCCTCTGTATGCATCTATCCCTGCCATCCCTGCATAACCCCGCTTGAATGTCTCCCTGCATTGCTGTCTGTCGATCTCCCCCTCCACAACAATGATGTCTCCTCTATTCCCCGTATCTGGTGTCACATATTTCCTAGGGAAGTTCCAACACTCCCATCAACACACTCACCCCCCACCATGCGCCCCCTCCAGCCCTACCTCCTCCACATCCTCCCTCTCCTCCCACTCACCCACAGCACCAACACCAACACCACCGACATCCTCACCCACATCAACCCCCTCATCGGCACCACCAACGGCGGCAATGTCTTCGCCGGCGCGACCCTCCCCTACGGCATGGCGAAAGCCGTCGCCGACGTGGACGAACAAAACACCGCAGGCTTCTCCACGGACAACAGCAACATCACAGGCTTCTCGGCCCTCCACGACTCCGGCACCGGCGGGAACCCATCCCTAGGCAACTTCCCTTTATTCCCTCAATACTGCGTCGACGATGTCCTCGACAACTGCCCCTTTCCCAAGTCCGCCCGCGCCGTACATTACCAGAATGACTCGGTCGTGGCAAGGCCGGGGTACTTTGCCCTAACCATGACGAATGGTATACATGCGGAGATGACTACCACGCAGCATGCGGCGCTGTTTCGGTTTAATTTTCCGGATACAGCGGAGCAGAAGTTGAGTCCGATGGTGTTGTTGGATTTGACGGACTTGTGGGAGAGTAGGCAGAATGCGTCGATTAGTGTGGATGAGAGGACCGGGAGGATTAGGGCCAATGGGACGTTTTTGCCGAGTTTCGGGGCTGGGGAGTATGCTTTGTATGTGTGTGTGGATTTCGCGGGGGCGGAGGTCAAGGATACAGGGGTTTGGGTGAATGATGCCGGAGGCGTGGAGAGGAAGGAGTTGTTTGTCACTCGGGGGTTTAATAATTTTTATCTCCAGGCTGGTGGGTTCGTGAGGTTTGAGAGGCCTGGTAATGGGACGGTGGGTGTTAGGGTTGGGGTCAGTTATGTTAGTACGGAGAAGGCGTGTGAGAATGCAAGAGTGGAGATTCCGAATCCGTTGGAGAACTTTGATGCGATACGGGCAGCTGCGGAGGATGCGTGGAGGGAGAAGCTGAGTCCTGTTGAGATGAAGCCTGGGAATACGAGTGCGAGTGCTGCCCTGCAGACTATGTTCTGGACCGGCATTTATAGAACCATGCTGGATCCGCAGGATCTGACCGGGGAGAATCCCCTCTGGGAGAGCGATGAGCCGTACTTTGATTCTTTCTATTGGTACCCCTATCCCTAATCATCACATCTGCAAGTGATATATTTACTGATGTATCCAGCATCTGGGACGCCTTCCGCGCCCAACACCCGCTCCTCACCATCGTCGACCCGACCACTCAATCCCGCATCGTCCGCAGTCTCCTCGACACCTACCGCCACGAAGGCTGGCTCCCAGACTGCCGCATGAGTCTCTGCAAGGGCTGGACACAAGGCGGCTCCAACGCGGACGTCGTCCTCGCCGACGCCTTCGTCAAGAACCTCACAGACATCGACTGGGACCTCGCCTACGAAGCAATGGTCAACGACGCCGAGAACGAGCCATTAGAATGGTCCTACCAAGGCCGAGGCGGACTACAAAGCTGGAAAAACCTGAACTACATCCCCTACCACGACTTCGACTACCTGGGTTTCGGCACCAACTCGCGCAGTATCTCCCGGACGTTGGAATACGCATACAACGACTTTTGCGTCGCGACTGTTGCCCACGGACTCAACAAGACAGACGATTACCTGAAGTATCTTGCCAGATCGACCAACTGGAAGAACATGTTCAAACCTGACCAGCGCTCCTTCTTCCCGAATGGAACTGATACGGGGTTCGTGGGCTTCTTCCAACCCAAGTATCGTAATGGCACGTGGGCGCATCAGGATCCGATGGATTGTAGTCCCCTTGCTACGGGGCCGACGTGGTGCTCGTTGACGAGTAATCCGTCGGAGACGTTTGAGTCGAGTATTTGGGAATATCAATTGTATCATACCCCATACCCCATACCCTAACCCTCCCCTTCACATATCCCCAACACAACAACCCCCAACTAACGATATAAACAATTGGAATAGCTACGTCCCCCACGACCTCCCCACTCTAATAACCACCTACCTCTCGGGCCCAACCTCCTTCACATCCCGTCTATCCACATTCCACTCCACGGCGCTAGCAGACTACAGCAACGAACCCGTCTTCCTAACCGTCTACCAATACCATTACGCCTCGCGCCCCGCCTTATCCTCGCGTCTCATCCACAGTCTCATCCCATCGGTATTCAATACCTCCTCGTCCGGTATCCCCGGCAACGACGACTCCGGGGCAATGGCGGCGTTCACGGTGTTTGGACTCATGGGTCTGTTCCCGAACCCGGGACAGAATGTGTATTTGATTTCGGCGCCGTTTGTGGAGGAGGTTAGGGTTAGGAATGGGGTTTCGGGGGGAGTCGCGGTGGTGAGGGTGAGAGGGGATGTTGGGGTGGGTGTTGGGGGGAAGGTGGTGAAGAGGGCGTGGTTGGATGGGGAGGTGTATAAGAGGTGTTGGATTGGGCATGAGTTTTTTGTTAGGGGGGGAGTGTTGGAGGTGGAGTTGGGGAGTGGAGGGGAGGATGAAGAGGAAAGTGAGTGGGGGACGGGGGTGGGTGAGGGACCGCCGAGTTGGGGGGGTGGGATGGAGGTGTAAATGTAGTTGTTGTAGATGCGTTGTTGGTGGATGAGGTTGGGACTTGGAGGGTATAGATGGTGTTGATAGTAATGGTGTCGGTAGAGGAGAGTGTTAAGTAACCACTCCGTTGATGGTGTGGATGTACTGGTCTAGTGGTTCAAGAGGGTAGTTTCTAGATTTTATATACGTGAAGTAACTTTATAAGAGGATAGTAGTCAACCACAGCATAATCTATAGTAGTAATGGTAAATATATCAACTATATAGCCTCCCCTTCACTGGCAACGTAACATCAAACGAAGTGAACGTGCAATGACCATACCCTTCTCCCTCACCACATCCACCTCCACCTCCACCTCCAATCATAGGCCTCGTCTCTACATCCGTATCCAAATCCACCTGTACAAACTGATCTATCCCACCAACCTCGCCCCACGCAACAGCCTTAAGCCCCGCATCATCATCACCAGGTGGTGGATGACACGCAGCACTAATCGCCGCACTACAATGCGCCGCGATCGGCATCCGGGAGCGAAACTTCTTCATCCCCAGTACCAACAGCGAAAAAAATGACACGCACTCCAGGATAGTAATGATAAAAATGGCGATAGGAGAGAAACCGCAACCCCTGATAGAGCTATTCGGGTCCTCATGGCCGAAAACATCATACACCGTGATGTTGACGTAGAAAAAGCTTTCAGAAAGCAGCCAGTGCAGGGCAACAGACATGATGAAAAGCGGGATGCTGTAGCGGTAAGGCAGGGCGAGGTAGTACGTCGAGCGTTGTTGCCCGCGGGGCCAGGAGACCCGGAGGGGTTTCCGGTCAATGGCGTAGTCGTTGTATTCGGCTGTGACGAGCATGCAGGAGAGGAGACTGTTGGTGGTGAAGTAGATGATTGAGAAGGCTAGTTGGGGGGTGTTGCTTAGGAGGACGAGGGCGATCATGTTGTCTCCTGAAAAGCGGATACTGGTTTGGGAGCTGGCGGAGCCGAATCCCAGGCGCCATTGCTCGGAGAGGGACCAGCCGTCTCCCTCAATGATAAGATCGAAGTATATCAAGTAGGAAATGAGGAAGCAGACGGTGAACCTATGTGGCTGGTTAGTTTATGAGGATATGCGAGGCATGGGGCACGGACATGAATACTATACTCGCCCAGCGGCACAGACTGGCCGCTCGAAACCATCGTTTTCGACGTGGTAGCATCCTCGGGGCGGTTTCTGAAGACTCTGCCTGCTCCAAGATGCGACGGTTTTCCATGGGAATGTCTGTCTGGTTTTCTGGGTCACGACGAATCCTCTTCCGTATGAACTTCTTCCATCGGGGCAATGGCTCCCATCGATGCGGTCCTCGAGCCATATCAGCCCGGGACATGAGACAGCGGCCCTTGGTTGTGGAATCTGGATGGGCGAGGAAGGACGATATGGCATCTCCTACTCGCAAGAAGATCTCAGAGCGGTCCGTTTTGGCAGTCAAGTACATGCAGACTACCTTGGTGAGGTTGAACAGAATCACGGCCAGCGCAATCGATGGACTGAAAAGAAGCCGACACCGCTGGGTCATGGTTTTTTCCATACAGTAGGAGATGGTGATTTCCGGGGTATCAACAGCAATTGTTCGTTTAGTCCATTCCAGCCCCTCGGCTGTCCACTTCCCTTCATCAACTAACTTCTCGACGTTGCTTTTCCCCACATTCTTGACGTAGTCATATACTGATGAGTAGCTCCATTGGAGACTGCTTGCATTGCCAAAGTACTGTCGCTCAGCCACTAAGATCAGGGTTCCGAGATGCGTGTTATATTCCACATCATACTTTTTCACGCACTCAGCATTACTCAAATTCTGAAAGGTACCGTTGAATATTTCGGTCTGAATCAGCTCCGGCGTGCTGCCGATGGCTTTCACGAAGGCGCTCCTTCCTTCCGCGCCGACTAACGACTCAGTCGGCGTTAAATCATTAGGTATGAGCATTGTGCCATAATCGAGCCCAGAGATGGAAGAAAATACCACCGAGTTATATCTGGTACGCAAGTTAGTGATGGCAGGGTAGGAGTCACTATTACTAACATCATGTGAATAGGAACTGAGCTGAGAAGTAAAACCAGCCAGAGAAGTTTCCGCTTGATACTCATGGCTCGAAAGTTCCGAAAGCTCATCACCCCAATATCCAGCCAACGGCGTTTTCGATGAGCTTTGTCGACATCTGTACGGGATGGTCCCGACACGCATTGCATGGCGTAGTTGCTGGCCTCGAGAAGGGTGGTGGACAAGAGGTTAATGACAACATGGATGCCCGTTGCCCATCTACTGGACAAAGTGCAATTCCCATTGTACAGTTCAGTGCTAAGGAAACTATGCGAGTTGGCGCTTTGGGAGTAGCTGATGCCAATGGCAATGAGCGCTAGCAGGATATTCAGAACCCAGATGCCTCCGGCGGCCCATGTACCGAGGAGGACACCATGAATCCACTCCTCGTCGGGATGTGCAGCAGACGATGAAGTTCGGGATGAAAGGAGCGTTGCATATTTGGCACGGACTGGCCATTTCCAGGCTTCGGATGATTCAGCATCATTGCTTGGTGGCTCGTGTCCGTTCCATAACGTTTTGATCCTCATAATGAGCCAGGAGAATACATAAGCACAAATCAGATGGCCCTTTCATTTTTCTGTACTTTAGCCACGCTATCTTTGCATATGTATTTATGTTTTTAATAATTTTATCATTTCTCGACTTGTCCGAGAAAACGCCTCCTGGCTTAAAAATGGTGCACATTGGCCAAGCCCAATAGTGCTAGTATTGGTCGGCCCGGCGTTCCGATTGGTGCTGCGGCCTGAAGACGCGTATACAGGAGCTAGAAATATGCTTAGCATGTAGTAGCTCGAGCTATGACTGTGGGTATTACAGCAGTTCTTGCTCGCCGGGGCTGAAGTGGGTCGAGTAGCGAGCGCTAGACAGTTTTGATCATGTCCGAAATCTTCCGCAATTAGCATATTTGTTGCTAGTGGTTTGTTCTTTTAAATGACATCTAGAGATTTCCCTATAGTTAGTATATATCCATTGTGTGCTTGCTCTTTGAACTTCAAATGCATACTTTGAGTCTGCTTTGGGGTGGGTCAGCGGAGTGGACACGGATCAATAATTTCACTCAAGAAGAATACTGAAACCGATCCGGACTCAGCACCTATTTGCCAAATGAGATAACATATTAGGAGCCCAGGGTAATGCAGGGACAGTCAAGGGTCAACAAATGAACTGTATGCAGTTGAAACAAGATGTAAGCTTGAAGTTATTAGTATCTAATAAGATCACTTCCTAATGGATTAAGGTTGTGGGATGTCCAATTTGGTTGGAACATTTCCTTCAGTTGGTAGTCTTTTTAGTGCCTTGCTTCAAGTTGACTATATTTGAACTGCTACCTGTATGTTATACCTTTCGGTTGGGATGACCGCCAACGCGATATCGCTTGATAGGAGGATAACGAGAGAATACTATAAGTATTGACTTTTTCGATGTTAATGTCAGTTAGGAGGGTAGAGCACATGCTGTGCTTATCTGGCTAAACTCATTCTATGTGCCTCGCAATCTTGCGGGGACGGCATCAGGTTGTGTTATCCACACTAAACATGTTGCAGGTGAGCATCCGTTCGGGCCACCGGTGGCCAGTCACGGCGTTTCATCATATCAACAGGTGGCACAGTTGTCGTGACCTCCGCTTGCGAGGGATGAAGCCAGAGCGATTCTGTGTGAAAGTGTGGCTCGCTACTTCGGCCCTGTGGAAAAGTGGTAAACGTGATGGAGTAAACAGGGTGATCGGCCGTCGTCGCCGGAGTAGGGCTAATGACAAAACTGTAGATACGGGCGTGATCTGGGGGAAGCATCTCTTTGTACATTGTACCCTCCTCAAGCTCCATGATCCGTGTGCAAACGGCGTGATAGTTCGGGGTATAAAAGATCAGTTCTTGCTTAGGAATCCGTTGTAGCAGATCCAGGGCTCGACGGCGAAGGTCCGGCCAGCGGCATTTCCAGGCGACGGCCTGCAACGGATACAACAGCTGTACGTCCAGATTCATCGTTTTGGAGACATCATCCGGGTAGTGGTCTGAGTCACTGAGCAGACGCTCGGCAATTGAGACAATATCCTCGTAGACAGTGCGGAAGTCATCCCAGCCGGATTCATTGGCCACACGATACCGATCAAGTCCTAAACGGTAACAATACCACAACATGCGAGTAGCATCAATCTCATTTTTTATGGCCGGTCCGCATTCCGACTGCTTCCGCTGCACTAGCAATTCAAAGCTTGCCACCCATCGTTGGGCGGCATGCTCAAAAGTTTCGGCCCATTGCTGTACGGGTGAGTGCGGAAGGTTCGTCATTCTGGCCAATTCTTGCCGGTCGGGGAATTTTCCGATGTAGTAAAGCATCAAGTCGAGAAGAGCGATGCGTGCCTGATGGAATGTTCGGAACCGCCAGTTCAATAAAAGCTTTCCTTGAGCATCCACGGGATTGACAAGTACTTTTTCTTGTGGCGCACTGACGAGGTGTTTGAGTGCCGACTTCTCGTACGTATTCAAAGAAAAAGAGTTCAAGATAGGGGCCAGTTCAGCATCCACCCAATGTGCCTGAGAACTCTTGGTGCAGCAGGATCGCTCTCGGTGCGCCCGCCAGGACCGCACCAGGTTCAGCCCGCTTGTGATATGCGATGTAACCCCGGTAGCATTTCCTCGGAGAAACTCGAGGGATGCGAACAAAATGCTGGCTGCTATGACTAGGGGCACAGCGTCTATTCCTGATGAAACCTTATCAATGGTGGTGCGGATGGCCCGGTTATAAAGGTGTAGTGCCAAGTCGGACTTGGAAGATTGCCAACGGTGTGCCATTGCCGGAGTTGTAGACATCCCCTCCACTTCATACAGAAACCCAATCGCAGCAATAGCTTGGCGGATCGTAGGTTCGGTCAGGCTGAGCTGTAAAACCGTGCGGGTCCAGAACGAAGCAGTGAAGTAACCAGCTAGATGCGCTGCAGACTTGCGAAAGAAGAACTCGAGGGCTCGGGACTCAGCCGGACTGACAAACGCAGTTACTTGTGCCAACTGCTTCGCGATGCGTATCGAATAAGGCATGGGCATATAACCATCACATTTCCGGTTCGTACTTGTACATCTATCCGGGAGGTTAGTGTGGGGTTTCCACAGCAAAGGCGTCATCCCAATGTGTTTGCATACCGAAGACAAGCCGGCTTGCGTTCATCACATTTGACGCGACGGATCCTGCCGTGGCCGCCAGATGAAGGGTTAGCAGACTGACCCAGAAGGGCAGGTAGACAGAGGGTTTCTCGCTCACCGACATGTAATGCAGCCCTTCCGCGACCTGGTAGATCCAAACCGTCGCCGCTGGTGCGGGGAGGAGTCGTCCGCATTCATTCTTGTCGAAGAGCTAGAAGATCTGAGCCGTCACGTCTTAATTAGAGGACCACTGGTACCATGCACCTTGGATTTCCTTCCGGCTGATTTGTGTTTTGCAATGCTCAACCTGCTCCATGGCCCCCATAAACCGCCGTCACGTGGTATTGACAGGGATCTGGCCGCATTTCGGACGTTGACTGGATAAATGGGCTGCTAGTCACCCGTAGTGGAAGACCGGGCATCTGAGCCCCACTACACGTTCAGCATGAGGATATGCCCAATAAATTCCTGCTAAAAATGCTTTGCGACTAGTGATGAACGGTCATCTTGCACGTAGGGATGCTGTGAAGATGTAAAGCAGCAGGTGGTACCACCTCGATATAAATTGATGTATAACAGCCTCAAGTTGTCTGGAGAACACCCATTGGCGATGGAAGCAGGACGTATGAAAGAGAAAGTCTGTTAATCATAGTATACAAGTAAGACTATAAGCGCCAGATAGAAGGACCCGTATGGTGTAGGACGGTCAAGGCTGGAAGACTTCTTTCCTTCCCACGTGAGGCGACTCGGGGTCCTGAGTGGGGTCGATAAGTTGCTGCTGCCTTGGACTGTATAGGAGCCTAGTGTAAGATTCTCGAGCTGACCTGGGCGGTTTAATCACTTATGAAACAGGCATCCACGCGGATAGAAGAAGACCAAAAGCATTGCAAATGAATGGTCCTTGTGGACCAGTTCCATCTAAGAATAACATAATTTGTACAACTAAAGTTCCAACAGGATCCGCCCATGTCAGGTACATAGCTGAGTAAGCAGGTTCCCACCAATCAGCAGCCTTGTTAGATAAGCTGACACCGGCAGAACCTGCCACAAAGGCCACAGGCCCGGCACCAGCTTCCATTCCCCAAACGGCGAGACCCGATCCCGATGGATGGTGGATAGACAGTCGGGTTACCCGCAGCTTATGTTTCTCTTATTTCCATCGTTCCATCTCCAACAGCCATTTTCTATCATATTTCTGTCATTTAGGCTTGGTCTGTCCGCTGCATTGATCCTCTTGCTATCGGACTGTGTGCTGTGGTCATTGTGATTATTCTCACCCCACGCACTACTAGTACTGCTTAACCCATTCATTACAACTAAAGACTACCAGTACTATCGTCGCGCAGCTTCTACCTTAACCGGAACTAGATAAGTTTTGCCCTTGACGAACTACGTCATTCCCCTTCCGTGCCTGGCACTTCTCCGAATGCCCTCCCGCCGCAGTCATACCAAGTCCCGGAAGGGTTGTCTCCAATGTAAGAAACGGCATGTGAAGGTCTGACTTCCTCTCTTTTTATCTCCATTCTCTTCTCCCTGGTCCGCTACCTCTTTCCGCTCCCCGGATCGACAGTTTACACACCATCGAGTCGTCGGTATAATTACACTATACATGCTGTTTCCATTCCTTCCAGCAGTATCATGCATGCTATTGGTCTCATGCTGACCCACGGAGTAGTGCGACGAAGAGACACCACGATGTGGCCTGTGCAAGAAACGAAGACTGGATTGCACATACCCTCCGTCAAGTGAAGCGGATAGCCAGCATGCATCCACACCCCAGGATATGCCTGATGTATTTCCTGGTCCCGAAGGAGAACCGCAATCAGACAGGATGCTTGAGATGAAACTATTCCACCACTATGTAACAGAGACATACATCACGCTCTGTCAAGGCCGTCTAGATGCTCACCACTTCCAAGTGGTTGTCCCACGGATCGCGGTCTCTCATGCCTTCTTGCTGGACAGCCTACTAGGATTGTCTGCTCTTCATCTAGCGTACCTGAACACTCACGATAACCGTTCATGGCTAGAAATCGCACTCAAGTACCAGAACCGAGCATGTTCAGCATTCACCCGTGTACTCGCAGAAATGACTCCCGAGAATTGCGCACCAGCCTTCCTGTGCTCCATCTTTATTATGCTCTGTGCAACAGCCTACCCGTGTGTTACCCAGGACAAACATACATTCGAGCCTCTATCCCATGTTTTGGAGATTCGACAGCTCATAGCGGGCTGTGCGTTTCTTTTCGAACAGCTTAGCGGCATGGAGTATCGGGGCGACCTCCAGGGGTGGCTGAAGTATAAGGATGACGAGGTCGATCAAGATGGAAATCCCTACCAGTACTTGCCTGCCCTCTTTCTTTCGATGGCAATAGGATGCTAATATATCTCTAGTGTACAGGAATCTCAGATCAAACTACGCAGGTATGTTTCCAAAGTTCCCGCGGGAACTCAGCCAAGTAATGCTAATAACTACAAGTGCCATCATGGAGTCTTTGCAGCGGGTGCAAGACAAATTCACCAGCCTTGGTGGGCCTAACCAGACTACGTACCAAAATACGTGGGATATTCTTCACGAAGCCATCAAACGATGGCCGTTCGGCGGTCCAAACGGTGGCATCATTGCGTGGCCCATTAATATCAGCGAAGACTACATTGCTCTGCTGAAAAGTGGAGACTGGGTGGGCCGCGTGCTATTTCTACACTACGGGGTAGGATTGCACCTTCTCTCCGACAAGTGGTTTGTCCGCGACTGGGGCCGGCGTCTTATTGAAACAGTCCTGCAGTTGGAGGAAGATATCCCCCCTATTTGGACCGATACCATTACATGGACAAAGGAGGCCGTGGAGCACTAAAGGTGATAGGGGCAAACGAGAACCTGTTGCGGATGGGCTCTGCTACATACGGGAGGAAAGCGCAGATAGCGACAATGATGTGACACTATCAAGTAGTCAAAAGTCAAAGCAAAGTTGTGAGGTAAGGGTTTCTGTCAAGTCTATGGGCGATTACATACCATGACTCGACGATCCGGGGAACCTCAACGAGCTTGGCGTGATGGCTTGCTTGCACTTCAACTGGAGATCACGGTTCGGCTCATTACGTTGGGCAGGCCGAACCCGGTCAGCGTTATCGCGTGACTTGGGCCCGCGGGTGGCGGCTGAATTCCCGTTGGCAGAACCGCCCTCGATAAGCACGACCCAAGAATGCGGAGTCCCAGTCATGACTCTTGATTGCAGGCGGGCATCCACAATCCCTCGCTGCTTATCTCGGCCAGCGCTGTCCCCGATATGGCTGGGGTGATGGCTTTCCTTATTTCTTATTTCCCTGCGTTCCCTGGGGCAGATTCTTCCCCCTCCCTTCTACTTTCTTAGGGTAGTGTATCTGCGAATAGGGCGTCCTCTAACTCTGGCGGAAAGGCTCACAAGGGCTCTCCGATGCTGATCCTCCGCACCTGCTAAGTCTCGCGGACGTATCTAACCTGTCGTTTTGACCCTCCCCGATCCGCCTTCGCATTTCTTTGCAACATGGAGACCTATCAGCCAAAGAAAAGTTCGAGCCAAGATGCGGAGAAGCAGGTATTTGGACCGAGTCGCTCTGTCGACCCTCTTTCGTGCAACCTTGCGCGATTATTGAATTGTGTTTCTAACCCGCTCTGTTCCTACAGCCACTTCTCGAAACCTGGGAGACCCCGGCTGAGCGATCGCAGTGGACCCTGTTACATGACAAGCGACCCAGCGCTTCAACTATGTTCCGCCTTGCGAAATTCACGATATTGTCGACGCTACTCCTAACCATAATAACGATACATCTGCCAAGTGTGCTCACCTCGCCTCTTGAATTTGCGACTAGCCGGCTTGACCGAGCGAGTAAATTGGAGGATGGGAAGCGCGGTGCAGTGGCGAGCGAAAGTGCTATCTGCAGTCGCCATGGAACAGATATTATAAACATGGGGGGAAATGCAGCTGACGCGGTGAGAACGATCCAGCCGATCTGTCGTCATGCGGCGCCCTGCTGACTTCAGTCTCAGATGGTTGCAACAATGCTCTGCGTTGGAACTGTTGGTGAGTTGGCCTACAATAACTGGAGAAGTGCTTGGACCTGATGTTAGTTGGAAGGCATGTACCATAGTGGAATCGGAGGAGGTGGGTTCATGCTGGTCAAGACCCCTGAAGGCTCTTTCGAGGCCATCGATTTCCGCGAAACTGCCCCGGCGGCCGCTTTCCAGGATATGTTTGAGAATAATACGAAGGCTTCCGTCAGCGGGGGCCTTGCAAGGTGAGCTCTCTTAGGCTCTTGGATGCTGCAATAACTGATATAATCGAAGTGCCGTTCCTGGGGAACTGCGTGGTCTCGGGTATCTCCACAACAAGTATGGCTCGCTCCCCTGGTCAACTGTTGTGCAGCCCACCATCCAAACCGCACGGGAGGGGTGGTCAGTCGGGCAGGATCTGGTCCGCTATATGAAAGCTGCTGTTGGGGACGGCGAAGACTTCCTATCTCAGGACCCTACCTGGGCGCTCGACTTTGCTCCCAATGGAACCAGGCTCGGTCTGGGTGATACCATTACGCGAAAACGTTATGCGGCCACACTGGAGACCATCGCAAACGAGGGCCCCGATGCCTTCTACTCTGGATCAATCGCGAAGACTATGATAGATGCGGTACAGAAAGCTAACGGTACAATGACGCTTGAGGACTTGGCCAATTATACGGTCGCTATCCGCAACATCTCAGAAATTGATTATCGCGGCTATCGGATTACTAGCACCCCAGCCCCTTCCAGTGGTATCGTAGCTCTGAACGTTCTCAAAGTTCTGGGTACTTACGATGACCTCTTTAATCCGGATACTCTGAACCTGAGCACTCATCGATTGGATGAGGCTATACGGTTTGGATATGGATTGGTACGCTTATCCGCTCTACTTAACTAGTAGCCAGCTGAATCAGTGGAGGCGATGCTAATTTGTGATATAGAGGACTAATCTAGGAGATCCGTTCTTCCTCGATGGCATGGACACGTATCAGGAAATGATGCTAGCGGATTCCACTGTTGAAGAGATTCGAAAGAACATTTCCGACCAGCATACCCAAGCCGTGCCTGCCTACAATCCGCAGGGATATGAGAGTCTTGAAACGTGGGTGAATCTTGATGGTACCATAGTATTATCAGACAACTGACCTAAGTAGACCGGGTACCTCGCATATTGCTGCCATTGATCACAGTGGGCTTGCCATTTCTGCGATTACGACCATCAATCTGCTTTTTGGCTCCAAAGTCATGGTTCCTGAGACTGGTATCATAATGAATAATGAGATGGATGGTATGCTTCATATTTGCTCCCGCTCACCCCAGTTACTGACTTATCCGTGAGACTTTTCTATTCCTAATTCGTCCAACTCCTTTGGCTATATTCCGTCCGAGGCAAACTTCATACGACCCGGGAAACGCCCACTGTCCTCTTGCACTCCGGCCATTGTTACCCATCCTAACGGAACAGTGTTCTTCGTCGCCGGCTCGGCAGGAGGTAGTCGGATTATTACTGCCACCATCCAGAACATTATACACGCCGTCGACGAAGATCTTTCAGCGGCAGAAGCCTTGGCCCAGCCGCGTCTTCATGATCAACTGGTCCCGAATCGTGTCACATTCGAGTACGATTATGACAATGAGACTGTGTCCTTCATGGAGGCAAGAGGTCACAATGTGACCTGGGTAGGTCCAGGGGAGAGCACGGCGCAGGCCATTCGAGTTCTACCGAATGGAACCTTTGATGCTGCAGGGGAGCCTAGACAGGCTGATTCTGGAGGGTTCGCTGTTTGAGGGATCTATTATGCACATGTGCCCCCTGACTATACATATGAGGGTTTTGCGAGCGATAGCTTTTGTCTTGCATTTACAGTTTTGGACTTGGGTTACATGGAAAGTTAAAGTATACATATAGCATTAGACTTGAATATCGAAACGAATCATGACAATGCCCGAGGCGGATATGTACTGCTAATATTATACGACGCAAAGAAACGTCTACTCGACTGGCCCGCATGGTATCTCCGCACTTTGTCGCGGTATGGACAACCCTACTTAGGCACATCACGACGTGTGAATACTTAAAAGAAGTAGAGCAGTACTTCGCACGACCACTACAATCCTTGCAGCCCACCACCCCCTTTCACTCTCGAGTCGATCGGTCTGATGCAAGTCTGTAACAGATGCAAGGGCCTGACATGGAAGGGGCGGGACACATCAGATGGCGGGCGTGATCTATCAGAGGTGGCCCGTGCGCTGCCCGGGTTCCGCGTCGGCGCGCGCCAGCAGAATGAGGAATGTGTTCTCTGTTCCACTGGCTTTCCAATTCACCCTCGCCTGGTGGTCGTCGGTTGTGAATGACTGGAGATTCTATCATCTTCGCCGATTAAATGAATGGTTTGAAGCCTTATCATTTGGAAATCCTGAGAAAGGCTTCCGTCGTGTTGGATTCGTTCACTCTTTCGCGGTCGATGTGGCTGCTCTAGCTTGCGCATATGGCTGTTGGAGTTGCGAGGTTTTGGCTATGGTGGATTGGTGTTACTCCTGTAAGTGGATCTCCTGCAGATGGATGGAGAGAGGTATGGCCTACTCATTCACTAATCAATTCACTCCATGTGTTAGTCTTTTGACTCTTCCTTCTCGATTTCCTGACCATGCGCCTCTATTCTTACAATCTATTCCAACAAACCGCTGCACTCTTGTTATACACACTCAGTCGGCATCTACCAAACGGAAACTAGCAGATAGACCGTCAATAATACACAACGCAGCCATGGCAGGTGGCAAAGGAGTCTCCACGTTCCCTTTGGTCCGGATCTCGCCTCCGCATATCAACGTCGACCTCCACAATTCATTCGATGAAGTGACCCAACGCACGGTGGATCAGATACTTTCAGACGAGGCAAGCTTTGAGAACAGCTTTGACGATTATAGCGGTAGCGATGGTATAAACGGAGAGGATGATATGACACGAAGCGGGGGTCACCGCACCTCGGCAATTACCGCTGCTACGCAATCTGCAAACGTGGACTCGCCTTACTTTCCAAGCAAAAAGCGCTCGAAGACCCAAAAAGCGGCACAGAGACACATCAGTCGCATGGACTCGAATGACGATGAAAACGATACCGAGTCTAGTACGAGTGTGGTTGGGCCTAATGGACACACGCTCGTCGATGATGGCGAAACTCTGGATGACGCCTCTGAGGAGGACATCGTCTTCGCGTCTGTAGACCTAGATAAGAGGATGGAACTGCTTACCTTTATCAGCTCACACCCGTTCATGAAGAAAGGCGAATATCCTGTACTACGATCTGCGCGACGAAGCTTCGTTCGTGAATTACGTCGAAAGAGTCGATCGCTTGGTATGAAAGAGGCTGATCTTGAAAGGCTGGTTGCATATGTCAAGAAGATCTACCTTGAGCTGTATGGGAATGGCCAGATGAGTCTGGATGCTTCTGGATTTGGCGAGGAGATCAAGGATGGGCAAACAAGCCCACCGAAGTCGTCTAACAAGGACAACAAGAGGAAGCGAGGCGCCAGCAATGATCAGGTGACAACATCGAAACAGGAGGAGAAGAAGACAACCTCGAAGAAAAGAAAGTCGCTCGAACCCATCACGAATGGACACCGTAAAAAGTGTGAAACTGATGGTCCGGACGCAAACATTACGATAGCGAAGCCTCCCGCGTCTCATTCCAAGGTCAGCCGGGAAAGAACTACAGATGCCGCCAAGGGCATGCCGGCAATTACTATTGATTTATGCCCGAGTGGTAACGAAAGTCCCGAGCCAGTCACCACGCAGAATGTCCCGTTTCAATACCCAATTGCTGGACAGGCCGCAGATAGACATGATGATGAGAATCACAGACTTCCATCACCGCCACATTCTGAGGAAGGATACAAACAAAGCTCCGTTGAGAAAAATACCACTCAATTCGAGGGGGCGAATCCCGAAACACTCCCATCGCAGGAAGCATCGATCAAAAGGTCCATGACACATCACTTCACTCCGAAATTGCCACGCCAGCACACCATTCGTGATTCGGAGGACGAGGAGGATGAGGGTGAGGATGATAAGAAGACTGGATTATCTCAGCCGGTTTTGGCGAAGAATAAACTCCCTTCGGCTACGCAAACCAAGCAGCCTGAATCTCTGCAGAGCGATGCAACGCAGCATCCCGATCGTGTGCTGTCCAAGAAAGAAAAGAATAGAAGGAAGCGCGATAATCGCAAACAGCGAAAGAAGAAACAATTTCGCGCAAGCCTTACGAACGCTGAACAAGTCGCATTGTCGACGAGTGCAGATGACGTTCAACAAGGACGCGATTCTAAAGAAGCAAATCAAACAGCAAAGCCCGATGCCACAGTGGTTGATGATCTTTCTATGTTGGACGAGGCATTCTGGAATCTGGAGGATTTTTAGATACCAATGATTCGCAAAGTTCAACCACCAGCGATGAGGTGAGGTCAAAGTTTTTCATCGCCCCCCGGAAATTGGAGAAAGGGAATGTGCATTGCGGAGAGAGAAGAAGTACCCACTCAAAGAATGTTCTTGATCGGATACCCGAAGAAACCCGAATTCTCCTATCCAAGCTGAATCTTTCATCAGATTTCCTTTCTACTGATTCAGACTTGAGTGATGTACCTAGCGGTTTCGATGATATTCCATTTCTCTACTCTCCCGATGTCTCACCTATCCAGACACAGTGTGTATCAGAGGCCGTAGAGCCAAGCACGCCGACTAAAGCAACATCGATAGGGGCTGCTCCTGTGCTGCCTAGAACACCACGTCTGAGGTCTCAGAAGATATCCCCATACTTTCCCAAACCTCTGGTCGACCCTGATTCATGTCTTCCGTTTCCACCCATCGATGCGCCATCATTCGGATTAGTACAGGAGCAACTTGCCCATGATCCTTTCCGTCTACTAATTGCCACCATATTCTTGAACCGTACTCGCGGGGGCGTTGCGCTTCCAGTACTATTCAAAGTGTTTGATCGGTTCCCAACGGTGGAGGCGATGGCATCGACGGACCCATCCACCCTGGCATCTATGATACACTGTCTCGGATTCCAGAACCAGCGAGCGAAGAAGTGCATTGCACTAGCCCAGACCTGGCTGGCCTTCCCACCTACGAAAGGAAGGCGCTACCGCAAACTTCACTACCCCTGCAAGGGAGATGGACGTGATATCGGCGCCGATGAAACCATTGCTGATGATGACGCTCGCGTGGGTTGGGAGATTGCTCACCTTCCTGGTGTCGGACCCTATTCTTTGGACAGCTGGAGGATCTTCTGCCGTGATGAACTCCGGGGACTTGCCTCGGATTGGAGAGCTCAGGGAGCTTCCAAGGCGTCTTTCAGACCTGAGTGGAAATCAGTGTTGCCGCAAGATAAAGAGCTACGAGCGTACTTGACGTGGATGTGGTTGAAGGAGGGTTGGGTGTGGGATAGACACACTGGGGAGAGAACAGTGGCGAGTGAACGAGTGATGCGAGCAGCACGTCGCGGAGGGGTGGCTCATGAGGAGGATGGGAATTGGGTTCTGGAGATGTCGCCTGTGAAGAAGGCGTCGAATGGATTGACAGCATGGAGTTAAACCTTGGCATCTAGGGAAGAGGAGTTATTGCTACGCTTATATGGGTCAAGTAGCGTTTTGATACCCTGTTGATAACAGACTACCATTTTTTCGAATGATTTAATTCGGTTGATACCGTAGATGTTCATATTATACTACGGATAAACGTCTTTCGACATCGTAATCTATCTATCTCATGACTACAAGTTTAGGGTATACTGTAGATGGTCACTCAGCTAATTTGGCATAATTCCGATCACTTCAGTAATCATCAAGATAAGCTTCATCCTATTTGGATACGATCCACCAGCTTCCAGTTCGCTTGTGCTGATCCACTTGAAGAGTGAGTGAGTGAGTGAGTGAGTGAGTCATTGGGTAGCCATCTATCCTTGCCTCAGGCACAAGCCGAGCATACTGCCTGAGGCCAGCGGGATCACGCCCCTCGCGATGGATTAATTAATTTAATCGTGAACTTGGATCTTCTTTCTTTCTTGATGCTGGAAACAACAACCCCCATTGGATGCAAGAAAGTGAACCACTCCCAGCATTATCCCTCCCAGACAGCAGCAGCATCCAGACCAGCCCATCGCAGTGGCGTGGTCCTTGCTGCTATTTATTTGTACTCACTGCCTTTTTGTGCACCCCATTTGGGTTTCTATGCAGCACCACGTCACTGGTGGTCTCCGAGCTTCTAGTTGCTGCTAAACTTGGGAAAATCCCACCACCACCGAATCGCTGCGGGGATCCATCCTCTCCGCCAGCCCGTCTCTCACCGCAAAATCCCCCCCATCCATTTGGCTCGCCATCTTTCCCTTATGCATCGTCCCTGAACTACTCGCTATTTGATTGTTTTATTCCCATTCCCACCCCCCTTCTTCTTCGCTTCTGGTCACCTTAGCTAATCGTCGTGATCTTCTTCACTTTCCTCTTTTCGTCTGTCCCCCCGCCCGCCCGCCGCCCACGGGATGTTGCATGCCCTTCAGCAGCGCCTTTGGTGGTTTGGCACAAGCGCCTAGTCAGGCATTCGACCAGTGAGAGTTGCATTCCTCGATATCTCTTAAGCGCCAGACGAACATCAATCGGGTCTCGGGTCATCCGACTACACCCTTCCTTTCGTGACATTCTCTTGGGAAGCTGACGACTACTCCTCCGTCACTGCTCTTTACTTTTTTGATCATCACTTGAAACGAGGTAACTAGACGAAAATATCAACCGATCCGACAGTGGGGACGAGAAGCAGGAAACAAGGGGTGGAAAGGAAGAACGACAACGCTCTATTGCCGTCTTCTACCCTTCCTTTCACCCTCTTTTTCGAAACCTTTCCACCTTCTTCCACATAATGTTTCTACCGCTGAGACTAAATGAACGAGATCGCGATAGGGACCGGGAGAGAAAGACTTCTTCATCTTCGACCCTTTCATCCAAATCCAGACCACGCAAGAATCGCTCGTCCCACGGACAGACCTCCCGCACTTCAACCAAGGAACGCGACCCTGATACTCCCACGGGCCGCGCCTCAACCCCTTCCACATCTACTTCCAATTCCCGCAAAAAGCGCCGCTCCTCCATGCCTGGGGTCGACAGCGCCAGCCACTCGGGCACAGCCTCGTTCCTCGAGTCGAGGACCAGCCTCCCATACCCGACCTTCTCCAAAGCCCACAGCAAAGAAGTCATCAGCAAACCGAGCATCCCTACACCGGATCCGACCGACCTGACCGAGGGAGGTAAAGAAGGTAGCAATGGAGATGCGAAGACCCGTGCCGAGAATAACAACCAAGCGCCCCCCAGCCCGCCGCTGACGAGCGTGGACCAGCAATCACACAAGGCAAGCACAGTTGGTAGTAAAGAAGAGAAAGGAGCGGAGGAGAAGCCAGAGAAGCCAAAAACCAAGATTCGGATCAGAGCAGAATCTACGCGGTCATCCTCGAGTCTGCGGTCGAAGAAGGATGACGGTTCCAAAACGAGCAAGCCAACACGGTCGGAGACGGTAAAACCGAAGCGCTCCAGCTATGAGTCTGATTTGCCGTCACGGACGGCTAGTCGCAATTCGACTCGGTCAAAGATCGTCGAGGAAACGGCTTCCCCCAAGCGGCCATCCAGCCATGCCACTCCCCCTCGCTCACCCGCGACAGTGCGCGACATTGGTCCGGACTCAGCAAATGGATCGGACGCAACCATTGCGCCGCCTCATCAGTCTACAACCTCTCGCAAGCCGAAGAGTCCAGAGAAGCCGCCATCGCGCAACCAGACGCGATCGTCGGCCTCATCTCGCCCGAGCTTTGGGGCTCGTACACCGGTTGACGCTGCGTATGATTATGGACGACCACCCACAGCAAGCTCTGCCTACGGTGCTCCACCACCGCCACCGCCTCCTCCCGAAGTTCCTGTCTCGATTCCAAAAGTCGACTATCTTCTACAGAATGGTGGGCTAGACCATCGTGTTCCGAAGTCTATGCTCGGCCCTTCTGTTCCCGAGGGTTCGCCGTATGCGCCATCGCCTTCTCAAACCGCGGCAACCAAGATATTTGAACCGTTCAACAGACTGCTCGAGGATTACAACAATGTAATGGCCAAGAACGGGTCGCTAGCGGTTGCCACGGGGTATCGGTCTGTCGCGCGCCGCCTGCTCGATCGCTTGGAAGCGGTGTTTGCCCGTGACATTTCATGCGAGTACTGCAGTTGTCTGATGTGTGAGCATGAGACAATGGAAGAACGTCCGTCAGGCGTCAGCTGGGGTGAGGTATTGGAGCTTGTCTCGGGTCGTCGTGAACTTCCCAGCTGGCCGGCTTTCATATTGAACCCAGCTGTGGTTGACGCGAACTGGTCTGGGGAGGAACATATTCCCATGCAGAAGCTGGACATTGATGTGCCGGAGGAGTATCGTGACCACTTTATTCGTCAATCGCGCAAGACGAAAGTTGCTGTGGACAAGTGGCTCAACGAGCAGTCCGGTCAGGCTACGAGCGCGCCTGAGGAGGTAGATGACGAAACCCTGACCTTTGCCATCTTGACCCATCTCGGACCTCACGAGCGTCAACTATTCTCTGCTCTTCTCGGCCTCGGCTCTACAGTGCCTACACCGCGACCGGAGGGACCACCGCGGCCCCGACCCGCACCATTGGTGTCATCGTCGCTCGCCATCCAGCGACTGTACCGATTGACCTCCGCTCCGCGCGATCCAGAAGCTGCCATCTACATGCTGAACAATCCCGGCATGCACCATGTTCTTGCCACCCTGGCAGCAATCAGTGACGACGAGTGGGACATCTTGATCTCTGGTCGGTTTGATGGTTTTCTGCGGAGTGGCGCTGAAGACACCTTCCCCGGCGCACCAGGCTCGACCCCACCACGTTATAGCTACAGTCGATCCAACACACCGTTCACCACCGGCGGAATCTCGCGTGGCCCGACACCAAACCCAATCGACGGAGGGATTCGACCCGCTAGTCAGCCATATGGTCCGTGTTCCTCGCCCGCCCCAGCTTCATTTGGTGGCCCGATCGCCCTGGACGAGGAAATGGAAATCGCGGCTCTGGCGGAGATAGAACGGGACATCTACCTCGGTATGGAGGCACTTGAAGATGCTTTTGAGGCCCTTCACTGCAAGGCAGAGGTGGTGCGGCGCGCGCTCCGCGAACGTGGCGCAGGGCTGTCGATTGCAAACCAGAACCGTCGCGGTTCCTACGTGGAGGCTCGCCTGGGGACTCCAGCCTCTGGCTTAGGCGTATGGGATGATGGGGCAGACGACGACTTCTTAGATGACGCCGTGTCGTTGGCTCCAGATGACTCGGCCAGCAACATCAGCTCCAACCGCCGGCGCCGTCCAAAGCGTCGCACTGAACGACGGACACCTGCTCCTGTCGAAGAGGAGGACGAAGAAGAAGTATACGACAGCCGACGAGGCTCCCGGAGAAGATGATCCACGGCAATAGTCCTTGATGGCGACCAACTCCTTTCAACCCATATACAAAATACCAATAACGCAACCGCATCCGCCTGGTTCTCTTTATTATAGTTTCATTTCATTCAGCGTCATGACACGACATCTAAACGAGCGCACGGAACCACGAATGCACGAATTGCGACGAGACGAGACGAGATGAGATGAAATGTATCAACGCATTGAAGACTCGAGGAAGTCGAGATGGCGGGTGTGTATGTAAATGACATGCACGACACCTAATGTTTATGTATTTTAACGAAGTTTCCTTTTCTTCCTGTTGTTTTGTTCGTCCGGTTTTCTTGTTTCTCGATTCCCACCCATCAACTGCTGACAACGATAATGACTTCGTTGTACATACGCCCCCTCTGATGTTATGACTTTATGAATCGGTGAATACCAGCTGCATATAGGTGTCCTTTATATTTAGATATTATGCTTGAATAGTATATTTGTCTATACTATGGAAATTGGTCTTCGAAATTAAATTGAGTCTACTCTTTCTCCCTCACACTCGCTCTGTAGTTGATTGTAACATCAGGCAACACCTGTCTGAATTTGAATGTCCATAGATATGACTTGGCTTGACTTCCGCCCGCCAAAGTCCCTCATACCAGGAACACTTCGAAACACTACAATTTAATCACGGAAATAGAAAGCAGCCAAGAGGCCAGTGTAGGTTTCCATTTTGACTAACACTGATTGAGAAAAGAGGGAGTAAGTCATCCAGAAAATATTAGCACCTCAAAAGTACTATTGTATAATCTACATTTACTAGTAGTTGCTTACCCGGAGCTTGAACGCTATTGAAATGCAGTCTGGTCAATTACTACCATGATAACAATACAGAATTTACTACTTCTATCTATCACTACTCTGCTAGTTTTGGTTTCTCTCCATTTATTTGGTAGTTGATAGGTTGGTAGCTAGTAGCCTTTAGTTTCATCGTAACTTTTTATGGTATATATATATATATATATATCGTACCACTCGGGATGTATTACGTATAGACAGGTCTTTAGTCTCGAACACATTGATCTTTGATAAAATAGACGTGTAGATCTGTGCAGATATAAATACTACTCGATAACTGTAGTTACAATCTCTTATTTAATAAGATTGGGTGTTCTGGTTGAAGGGTAGTAATATATATCTTCTCGCGGAGGAAGTCATCGTCAGCAACATTCAAGTGGACGTCAATTGATAACTACATCATTAACTAGTTATTGTTTCATACTTGACTCATCAGACTTTATTCATGGTTATCTGTATCTGTCTATTACTACATTCTTCGAACGCGCTTCTAGTTCATATTGGCTTTTTATATAAATCCTACAATATAGTCGTCCGTTATTAAGCAGTGAGAATCTACAGATGAGTAGTTGTACAATTCCAACTGAAGAGTATATATACTACTGACGTCAGTAATACATACCTCTCTTACTTTGCTTTAACCCAGTTTTGATGATCTGGAACCGACTATACGATCCTTTTCCATTTCAGTACAGTACTGAGTTCGTCACCACTTCTCTCAATAATCACACAGTGAATTTGATGAGGTGCAACAGCAAGGCAAGGAACTCTGTCTCGATCCGCACTATTCCAGAAATGTCTGCCTATTCTGCGGGGAAGAAGCAAGACGGGAGGCTGTTGAATACGAGGTGGGGGAATCCGATGGTGCGCCTTCCCTTCCTTCCTCTCACAGACCAACGAAGGATAAAATAAGTGAAAATACGAAGCGGGGAAAGATTCATTCAATGTGATTGATTGATCCTGTTGGTTGTATCCTTCTTGTCATTTGTACCCCGCACGTGTGTTGTGATGGCTTTGCATTGTTCTTGAGGCGTTTCAGGTCAGTTCCATACTGAGATATGGTATCCCTTGACGTTAACAGACTTTGCGCGGAGAGTGAGCTAGTAAGTAAGTCACGGGTGACCATCGCGTTGTATGTAGCCAAGTGTAGCGCGATGGTACTGCTTAGGGAATGTCTTAGTCCTGTGTAGTGCTCTCTCTCTAGATCAGTGAATCGGTTCCTTCTGCAGAGGAAATCAAGCAAGCCCAGTACTGTTCATGGGGTCTTGCCTTCCCCTTTATTCGTCGACACTAATTTCTCACTCATCATAACAAGGTTCAGGGCATAAAGTGTACCTCGGGCTAAGCCCAACTCAGTTATTCCTCATCCCCATCTGAGTCGGGGCAATCCACCCCAGATTCGCAGCTCCATAGCTTGGACGAGTTCGACCTTCCGGATCAGCTTCGATATCCGTGCATTCTCATTACCTTATCATATTCAAGTGCTTGATCCTCGTGCTATTTACTGTATCTGGTTCAAGATCAGCTAGTGAGTATCCATGGTTCATCCAGAAAATGGATCCTGTAGCCACAAGGTTCTTTGGTTCCGCACCCGGGAGGGGAAAACAAATTTAGAATTTCGGCAACAACCCTTCCGAGTAAGCACGGCTCGACTTGATCTTGGGTTTCTTGGGTTTGATAGACTATGGAATGTGAAGAGGCGCAAAAAAGGGAGGTCGGGTTTGCCCATCAACAGAGCAACACTAGTTGCGATAGCCCTGCGGTTTTATCGAAGTTAAACCCCGCCTTGCTCACCCTTTTTGAAGCTAAACCCGCAATTGGCTTTCGGTGGCCGGCCGGAGAGTTTGGGAGGGGCTGTCATTGGTCTCGTTTGCTGGGGACGAGAGTTCCGAAAGCTACCATAGTCCATGGTGGAAACATTATCGCGAGATAGTAAGGTCTCGGCATTCGTGGAACTGATTCCGGAAAGCGAAGGCCACCAGGGCAGGAATGTGCGCGACGGGACCAACAGACTCTGCGCAATTGTAAACTTGTTCTCCACTTCTCCAAACTTATGTGAGACAGGAGGTAAAGAGCATAATGGAAAACAGGGAAGGGTATCTGGACTATGTCTTCCCACGCGACTGTCTAGGCGGGAACAAGCTGCCTTTTAGTCGGCCTTTCAGGCAAAAACCAATAGCATCTGCTGCTTAGTCTCCCTTCCAGAAGGTCATTTGAGACCAACGAATAACAATGCTAGGGCGTTGAAGCATAAGGCGGTTTATACACCACATAGGAGAACCCCTCTGGAGATTGACACCGATTTCTCGGGACTTCGGTTGTTGAAGATGAACCGTCCCACACGGTGTGAATGGCTCTTTGGACGCTTGGAGCCTTCCGTCGGCGCCCTAGGACGGGACTGGGCCGAGTCAGGACGCTGGCCTTGAGGGGCAGCCAAGTAATTTAACTGGAGACTGCCAAGAGGTGAAGAGTTTTTATCTCACCCCTTTCCAAGCTGTCAAAGTTTCGTAATTTGAGCCCATGAGGCAATGACTTTCATGCATGAAAGCAGCCACAGGAGGCAGAGACAAGGCATGCATAAAGTTATTGTCATGAGATAATGCGAATTTAAGTTGTGACGGGATTCTTTAGTTCGAGAGGATTCTGAAAGACGGGTACGTAGTTAGACCATAGACAATTACCGTAGGGGCGGCCAGAATGTCGATCGCTTGGCAGTAGCGGAGAGTGATGCCTAGTTCTGCCGGGCTGCCGACGCTGGATGCGAAGGCGCCAAGAACCCTACTCTTCATGGTAGCAATAATAGTGATCGCCACGAATTGTGGACCCCCTTAACGGCCATGACACCTTCGTTCCAGCGTGATGGTAACAATCCGGTGGTAATGGACAATGTCTCGAGCCAGAGTCGACTCTAAGAGGAAACTCGTGGACGATAACCTACTTAAACTCGCTGTTCTCGTGAGAGCAGCCGTGTGCTGGATCAACAAAGATCTATCATAGAGCAGATCTGTCCAGCACTGACTCTGAGAGATCAGCAAATGATGCCATACCTGGCCGAACCGACCGTGAGAATAATCTGCATGTGCTTGAGTCCACATGTTCTACTTGGCATAGGAAAGGCATATAATCGAGACACAAGCAATGTCCATTTTACACGATTGCGCTGGAATATATCAGCTCAGAACTGCTTGAGTTGAAGCCTTTCAGTACTGTAGATGCATTGTTTGGACGTAGTCCTTTTCGAGTTATATGCCTTTTGGCATGTGCAGCTTGTGATAGACTGCCCCGCGGCAATGTTCACGATCAATGCGGTTCCCCTTGTAAACGGGCCACTTTGCGAGGGCCATTTAACTTCCAAGTTGGGTGCACGTTCATGCATAGAGTCATGATCTTCACAATGACATGTCAGCCTACCTGATAGCATAAGATAGCCAATCTTGGCAAGCTACATCTTGCTGTTTTGGTATGACCTTTGGCGCCAAAGGCCTTCAGAGCATGTGCTGTGATCTTCCTGAGACCATCCACATTGAAAGTCTTACGATTCAGGAAGTGGCTTGAGAGGGTCTCATTATTGAAAAGGGGTCTTCGCATTCTGGCAGCGGCAAGTTGACTGCTTCTGACGGTTGTCAATCCAGTCTACACTGGTCTGCCAGGCATGTGAAGATTGAGATACACCTGACAGATCAGCCTGTTGATAGATCCCAGTTGTGAGCACAATTCCATGGGCATGGAATAGGCCGGGATTGTCAAGGGTTCACGAAACGTTGGAGGCTTTGCGTCGAGTGTTTATATGTGAGGCCAGGATAAACAGACCAACAGAGAGATCAGAGTATGCTTGGTATCACCAGGACAGCAATTAGGGATCTCTCAGCGGGGCGTGTTCTCCTACTGTAAAGTACCAATGAAAGAAGCTCATGAGCCAAGGAGCGTAGGTGTGTACCAAGGAACCTTATGTAGGCTAGTCCGAAGACTCTGCTAGGCCACTGCATCTAGTATGGAGGTGCAGTATGATCCTATACACTAATATCCAACGGAGAAGCTGTCGGTAATCTTGGTAGTACGAAGGCAGACGCAGATGACGCGACCTAAGAAGCAGCATCACCAGAGCGGTACACTTGGGAAATAAAACGTGCCGCATCGCGAACATAGCGATGAAGCTCAAAGACACGACCTTTGGCAGAGGCGGAGAGTTAGCTGGCTTGACAAAAAGAGCAATGCAGTCCCGACGTGGCCGTCGTATGGATGGAGTTAGTAAGTACTTAGTACTTTTGTCAGGCCAGTGGGAATCATTGGAAGGGTGTGATTCGTCGACACCTTCCTGTTTTGGGCAATAGCGCCGGTCAACTTCACTGCCGGTATTGGGTTGATTAAAACCGTTGGTGGTACACATCTCCACTCGGTCTGGCTATACTGTTTCTGTGGACACCGCTGAATTACTACAAAGTTGATAGTCGAAGAAGCACCGAAACGAACTTTGTCCCCTTTGCTGCTGTTCTCTTGACGCCTACCAGATCCATCATGGTACATCTCGTGGAAAGCAGTGAAATGACTGCCTCGACTCACACCAGCTGTTCGTTTCTATCCTTCCTACAAGGGAGGGACAATTGAAGTCGATCAATATGGATGATAAGATCATACAGAGGATAGG